TTATCCATCCTCAACTATTTTTTATTTAGAGAAGGTTTCTGCGGGAAAGATTGAGTAGATCGGTCGAGTGAAGTTGGTTATTGTAAAAAGGCAATCATTTGAATTCTACGGCTTGTTCTAGAGTACGAGAATTGCGATGATTAATGTAAATGCTAGCAGGATAGCTTCAAGCCTTGGCTATTTGGTGGTATAAAAGAATTTCAACTCAGACTTTCTACTATCTGATTGTAAAGGTATTTTTGTGTGAGCAAAAGTCATTTATCATTTTAAATTCTTCCATATTTCTTAGGAAGAGTGTCAGTCTATTAGTAGATCGGGGTATAAGTTTTCTGCCAATTGCTTCGATCCAAAACTCGTAAAGATCTAGAACTTTTTTGAAACGTAAATGGCTGAGGGCTTACCCATTAGATTTGTCATAGCGTTTCAATCAATTATATGTGCGGGGATTTTACTTTATCACCCTTTTGACTGTGTTAAACAATTTCATTCAAAGACTAAATAAGAAAATGATATGTTTGCTCGATTAACTCCAACAGACCACACTTTGAAACGCTGGACCTTTGTTCCCTAGTTATACTAGGGTATTCAGACGATGGTGATGATCCAAATGCTGACTCCTGCATTGACCCAGTGCTCCGTGATGACATACAAAATGCGTTGAACAAGGTTACTGACCATTCATGCAAGGTTCGCTGCTCATTCTGCTAGGAAACTCATAAATCTATATGGAAAATTACCTCCAGGGTATCGTGAAAGCTCTACTTTTCAACCTCAATCGACCTGGTTGGGCTGTAAACTGCGTAGATTTTGGTGCAGCTAGCCTTGACGGCATCGTACAGGTAAATTTTATACGTACAAGTAGATGATTTCTTGATTTACACTTCTCATGGTTTCAGGATATGAACTTCTGCGCTTACATCGGAGTTGTTTCGCCGTATTTGTACGATATTCGCATGGGAAAGATTGATATGTCGTAAAAGAGAATGTTAGATAAATAGAGCTGTTTTGATTGTTCTTCTGCATATCTTAAATAGCTCAAACAATTTTTTTTCATGGTTTTACACGTACGATGGAATTATTTATTTTGTAGTGTAACATTTACCTGCATAATGTTAAGTAGAACAAGAACAACCAATTCCGACTATTTTTTTTTGAATAGAAAAAATCTTGATCGCACTAAAAAAATATGAGAAAATGTGAATATCAAATTGATGGAGATGTCCATTCAAAAATTAGGAGAGGTTAGAGTTTTTTCGTGTAAAAAGCAATAAAAAATGACTTCGATTATTACGCGCATCAACTTGGTGAGCATTGGATCTATGTACTGCTTAAATTTCTTTGAAGTGAAAAAATTGAGAAGGTCGAGATTGCTGTTGTAACAGCTGAGGATTGGGTGGGAATGGGAATGGACCTTAACCACTTGCCTCTAGTTTCTTTAGCTTTGCTAATATGAATTCGGCCAAAAACGTGAGCATAACGGCTACCAAAGCTGAAATTGATCAAATATAATCTGATGCGTAACGCCTTATTGTAGAGATACGATATATACACAATAGCCAATAGTGCATCTGAGGGCATACAATACTGTATAATTCAAATAACGCACAAAACTTGTTGTCAGTGTTATAATTTCTGGAAGCATTGACTCCCGAGACGCAGCCCTACGGTAAACCGCGACCGTATAACTGTGTTCT